AATAAATGTAAAAGTAAAAAAATCCTTAATTAAAAGAAATTAATAAATTACAATAATATCATTACTTAAAATAAATATAAAAAAATCAAGTGGCATAATTAATTGTGAATAAAATGACGATATAAAGTGCATACCCTTTTCTCTTATTTTAAGGACTTATACGTAAGCACAAACGTGACGGTTGTAAGTAAATATTCTCTCTTTGGGATTGAATACTTAGATTTTCATTTATCAGTTTAAAGTTCAAGATTCGGTGCAAYAAGCGCGTATAATTATAATTCAAGCACATTTTCTGTTTCGTACTTGGGAGATAATTTCAAGACGGCATATACATATRGTATATATATGACATCTGTCACAGTTATGAATACCAAAATGCAGTTATTAGTGAATTTTCGATTGAAATTTGAAGGCGGAGTGATTAATGTCTAAATAGAAGTTTCTAACGTTTTTGAAAATAATTGGCATAAGTAGCTTAAACAAATTTTGAACAACTGACACATTGTTTGTGTGTATGTTCAACCGGAAATGTTTGATAAATCCACGCCTCCTATATATATCTTGCGCGTTTCGCATATCTGTGCTGACTATCGCTATTAAGAGGTTTCAATACAMCAATAGAAGTTATAAACTGGGTAATCCGTACATGATTTCAATCTGCATGTTTGTGGATATATTGGGTAGTMGAAAAAGTCTTTTCGTAATTCTAATCGAACTTCAATTTTTTTATAATGAACTTTAAYGAACCAAATATGTACGATTTTGGTCGACTACTTTTTGCCATTTTTCCGCTAAAGACATTAGTCCTTCAGTGTAAAACTTTTCTGGTTTCTCGGCGAAAAACTGCGACAAGTAATTTTCACAGACTTCTCATGAAGCCAACTTTACTCCATTAAAAAAGTTCTGCATTGACCGAAACGATTGGTAATCAGATGGTGCAAGAACAGAGCTATATGGTGGATGCGTCAAAACTTGTCAGCCAAGCTCTCCCAGTTTTTGCGGAGTCATCAAAGATGTGTGTGGACAAGCGTTGTCCTAATGGAAGACGGAGCTCTTTCTGTTGATCAGTTCTGGCCGTTTTTTTTTCGATTGCTTGCTGCAATCTCATCAGTTGACAGTAAAATGTAGAATTAATCGTTTGACCAGGCTGGAGCAGCTCATAGTGGATGATTCCTTTCCAATCTCACCAAACTCTCAGCGTAACTTCGATTCGTCAATCCTGGGTTTGTGACCATTTGTTGAGTTTCACCCCGCTTGGACCATGATTTTTTCGCACATTAGTGTCGC